GGCTCTTAAAGAAGAACTTTATTGAGCTATGCCTACCCACCCTCCCTAATGCCTTACTATTTCTCAGCCAGGCATTATCTTCACCATCAGGCACTTGTTGGCACGTGTCTAGAGTAGCTGCTTTAATAACTTCTTACTTATACACATAGGGTGGTTATGTTTTACTTGACACCGAGTTGAGATACTCCAGCTAGACATGCCTGCACTTATAGTTCTACAGAACCTGAACAGACAAGTATGCAGGGACTTGTCGCTCCCTATGGAGAGACAGCACAGCGATGACATAAAAAAGAATGGTGCACATGAGTGTCCTTTACCCACATGTGACCGGTTCTCTTTAAAAGTTGACAGATGCAGTATATGTGAGTGCAATGCTCCTGGTCTCATGTCATAGCTCTTAGGACCGTCTCACTAGCACACAGAAGTGTGAGTGATAGAACAGATCCTGGACCACACACAGACACACACCTGTCTGCATCATGGAATGGGGGTGGGGCGGTCTGGTCAGGAATTCGGCACCCTGGGGTGACATGTTGGTGTTATGCTTCTGTATAAATCACACTGACACCTGTTATACATGAGAGGCGCTCATCACCTGCAGCCTCCCCTCCTGATACTCTTAAAGGGTATGTCAACCCCATTTTTTTGTTTCCTTTTGGTCTCTTAAATATACCATTGAAAGTGTTTTCTTATATCTGTTCAATAGGTTAAAAAGAAAACTTGTTGATCTGCCAGAAAACTTGTGAGCTGATCACTTCCTTTGCTTCCTGTCCGTGCTGCACTGTTATCAGTTACATTGTTCCCAGCTCCCTCTCTGTGGTCTACACCAGTGTTTCTCAGCCGGGGTGCCCTGTGGGATCTCTGATGTGAAAGGGGGATCTTATGAGAAAGGTGGGGACTCTGATGTTAAAGAGGGGGACTGGGATGTGAAAGAGGGGACTGTGATGTGAAAGGGAGATTCTGATGTAAAAGGGGGCGCCTGGTATGAAGGAGAGACTTTGATGTAAAGGGGGAACCCAACTTTTTTATGTTTTTGTGTGGGGTCTAGAGCTGCAGCTAACGATTATTTTCAAAATCGATTAGTTAGTCGATTATTAGGTTCGATTAATCGGAACAATCCATCACATTATAGTCTGGGGGACCTTGAGACTCTGGTGTAAAAGGGGATGGACTCTGATGTGAAGAGGGGCATCTGGTGTGAAATAGGGGAATGCTGATGTAAAAAGAGAGGGTTCTGATGTAAAGGGGGGGGGCTCTGATGTGAATAGCGGGCTCCTGATTTGAAGGGGAGACTTGGATGTGGCTTTTGCATGGGGTCCACCTTACAATCCATTACATTTTAGACTGGGGTATCTGAAGATTTTGCACACTTTTAAAGGGCTAACAAGCCCCCTTATGTAATAGAAAAGAGGATGTGACAGATCCTTTTTATGGAGATATCTGGGGTCTATTAGACCCCTAATGTCACTGAGAGACCCCAAAAAAGATGATATAGCAGAGATCTGCTTCATCAGCTTCTTCTCCGGCTATAGAGCTGGAGGAATTACACATTTGAAACTGGAAGTGATGTAATACACATCGCTTCTGGGTTCAGTGATCAGAGGGGAGATCAGCCACTGGAATTGTGCTGATCTTCCTCTGATCTAAGTAAACAGACCCAGAGTGCCGGTCCCGAGGGGGAAGGAGGGCTCACACTCCCTGGCACTGTAAAAGCGATCGGGTGGCTCTATAGCCACCCGATCGCTTGTATGTGAACAGCCATTGCCGGCTGTTTAAAATGGTTCCAAGATCTTTGTATAACTGCTTCAGGATGCCGACATTTATTTATTTATGTATGTCGGTCCTGAATTAGTTAAAGGGAAGCTGTCAGGATAGGAATATGGGATCTGTAGTGCTCACTTATTTCTGAAGGTCATCCTGATCTTGGCTTCACTACCTAGTGAATCATCTAGCAGGAACATGACTACAGCTCAGGAGACTTCATTTGCTACATACTTGTTCCAGGTCCAGGGCTCTCTGGGCAGTGAAGCTGGGATGAGCCTAATAGCCCCAAAGCTTTACCTTTAATACATCAGCAATGGTAGCTCTCTTTGACAAGGACAGGTTCCCTTTGCAGGTTAAGCACAACAGCTAACTGATTAGTATTACGGCCTTGTAGCCTGACTTCAATTCCATCTGTATGGCGTTTTTTATGGACTGACCATGCTGGAATACGGCTCTTCCAGATGTTCTAGAACGTATACTGGCATACCTAAAGCTTTCCACCCAAAACTAGTGTTTGTGGCTTACTGAATTTTCATAGTGTCAGCTCCTACAGGAATGTAGAGTGCTAGGGAATTATCCAGTGCTATATGAATGACTAGAATACAGTGTGTAATACTATACAATCCACCAGTAACTTGTCATACAGCGCCACCTGGTGGCCAGACACTAATCACACAACTACAGGACAGTTATCTGCATAGGTGAGCTATTGGGATGGCCATACAATGAGCAACTTGTGATCAATCTAGGGAAGAGCAATCGTGATCAAGCGATTTATCATCAATTAAAATAATGAATGATGCAAAACATGTTTAGTGATTTTCTGAAAATATTGATAAGATGTAAATGAGTTAAACTGTTTTTTTTTTAAATACATCTGTATTATGTTCGCTGATGCTGGCCTGTGGCTGCCACAAGTGTTCATCACGGGGTTCACTTTCAGACCGGTCGGAGAGCTGATTCAGACCACCAGTCACTGCTAGCGGAAGAGGTGCCCCTGAGAACATGTGACATAGGATTCCTTGTTATGGGTTGCAGGAAGGTGCCCCCCCCCTTTTTTTTTTTTAAGCCCGGAGTTTATTGTGTATAAACACACAAACATGTAGCACTGACAATATTTTAAAAAACGTGGTAAGCCAGAGCATATAGATGTGAACCAACGGCATTACAATATATGGGAATTTGATTTGAATTGTATTTTCATGTTATAAAAAATGCAAAGCAGACACTTATGAATGTACATAAATGAAATGAACACTTGTGATTGAACACTTATGAACGGATGCTTGTGAATAAACACTTATAAATGGCCACTTGTGAATAGATACTTGTGAATGGACACCTTTAAATGGACACTTGTAAATTGAACACATGTGAATGTATACTTATGAATGGACATTTTTAAATGGAATGGACACATAGGGGGTGATTTACTAACCTAAACACACGCACGCACGCACTAGGTGCGTGTGATTTTTACACAGCAAAACGTATTTATCAACCAAAAAGTCTCTAAAAGCATATTTCCACAAATGCCATATATGGAAAAATCATGCACATGATGCATATATAATGCTGCTTCACAGTTTAGACAAAAATGGTTAGCTCATGCATTTACATTCCTGCATTCATCAACGCAAGCAACACAACATAGAGCTAATTTACACAACATCACCTTGCAATTCATGCAGGGCTTTGCACAACACACCTGCTGGGTGTGTACACACTACAAAGGTGTTTAGATTCCACCCATAGATCATGCTGGGAGGGAACACACTGCAGAGGTGTATATGTTCGGGGTGTGTTTATAAGGTTAGTAAATCAACCCCATAGTGTTGACACTTGTGAATGCACACTTATGAATGGTCACCTTTAAATGCACACTTATGAATGGTCACCTATAAATGGAGACTTGTGAATGAACACCTCCACTTGTGAATGAACACCTTTAAATGGCCACTTGTGAATGAACACCTTTTAATGCACACTTTAGGCACCTTTAAATGGACACTTATGAATGGTCACCTTTAAATGGACACCTGTGAATGTATACTTATGAATAGACATTTTTAAATGGAATCAACACTTAGTGTTGACACTTGTGAATGAAGACTTATGAATGGTCACCTTTAAATGGATACTTTACGAATGGGGACCTTTGAATGGACACTTGGACTCTGAGCAGTAACACACGAATTGTAATTTTTGTGCATCTTTACTGCACATGTACATCCTTGAAAGTTCCTCCCCCACCTTTACACAACCTATGAGCAAATATAAACCAAGTAACATTGAATATGTATTTAAACGTGCAAGGAAAGACTTGGTGCCTTGTTCTATTATTCAATGAGATGCCGGTGGCATTTTTGAGTAAACATATTGAAGAATTGTCCACAAACCTCCCAGTATATGAAGCCTTTGTGGGGTTTTTAATCAATATTAAAATGGAAACCTATGAATAGACGGGAAGAATCAAGCATCACAATCTCAACCAGGATTTTGTAACTGTACATCCTTTAACCCCATACACGGTGTTCACAGGGACAGGAAGGTAAGCCATCCTCACTTCCTGTCCCATTGACCACTATGTTGGGGCTAAAGGTGAATCAGATCTCAAGCCTTCCCTTCCGTCTTGCACAGTTGTACCGGTTCCTCTCCTGGATTGAAACCGATTACTCTGTATTCACTGCACACTGCGAGCTTCTCACAATTTCCTTTCCCTGTGACACTAGCAGGGTTATTCACAGAAGGGTGAAGAGTTTGGAGAAGGCAGGAGAAGTGAACAATCTAGGACAACATAGCTGGACTGGAAAGTGAGCTGAATTGGAGAATTTTTCCAGTTCAGCTATATTGTCCTAGATAGTTCACTTCTCCTGCCTTCTCCAAACTCTTCACCCTTCTGTGAATAACCCTGTAGGAGAAGAACTTTGGGAAATGGGGGTCATGGTGACAGGAAGATAAAGTGCAACCATAAAACACATCACAGGTTCTAACCTTTCCTCACACTACTCCCAAATATCGGTTGCTGTTTTTGTCCCCACTGGAGAGATTTTTCCTCATGTCACATCCATGTGATAATCCAGCACAAGGACAGGAAGTGAGGTGACATCTTCCCAAAGTGAACCCAGATAGTGTCACAGGTCTAACCCTTATATTCTCTTTTCCAGTATTGAACATTTGCTTTAGAGTTCTACCTAAAATCCTGACAAACCGACATTTGAGACAAATGGATAAAATGACATAAAACACACTTATATTATACACATCAACCTATAAATTGTTGGTTATAAAACACAAGAAGACAATAGCAGCACTAAGAGCTATGAACAGGCAGATTAGCAGCAGGCTGTGGTAAACGATCGGACGCTTGGTACAGGCGGAGTCAGGATCTTGCAGACAGGCATTGGTTCACGACTTCCAACAAGTGCGAATTCTCCAGAGCGGCCGCCACGCGCTCTTTGTCTGCCAGCTGTTTATTGACTGAGAGGAGAAAGTCGCAATCAGTACAGACACAATGACTAATTATTATAATTTAATACAAAGTGACACCACATGATTATCCCATTACTCTGCAGGGTTGTTTCTGTTTTTCAACTCTCATGTACTTGTGGGCAGCTTAAGACCTCATTCACACAGATCCTTGTGGCGTGCACGGGTGTATCGGGCCGCTCCCGGGAAGGTTAGGCGCTGCGTGTGATTGTACGCAGCAGCCTGTTCTCTATGGGAGGACGCGGCCGTACGCCGTCATACGCTCACCCGAGCAGGCGTGGGTGTCCGTACTTAGACGCAGACAGGATGGATCCTGACTGCGTCCGAGCATGGACACCCGCACGGATGTGCAGCTCGGGTGAGCGCATGACAGCATACGGCCGCGTCCTCCCATAGGGAAGAACAGGCTGCTGCGTACAATCACAAGCAGCACCCGTCCTTCCCGGGAACGGCCGTGCATGCCGCACGGATCTGTACGGTCCCACTCTACGCTGTGTGAATGAGGTCTAAAGAACACCGGTGCTTTGCCGAGGGCTCAGAGCAAAGCAAGAGGCACTTCAATGATGCAAGACCTAACTTGATGACATTAGGTGTGTTAAAGCACTGTGTATGAAAAACAATTGTCATCTATTTCATCACAATACATTTCTTTCATCCTTTGTTACATCTCAGTGATGCTGATGTCCTGCAGCCACTTACTGTCTGCATGCACCCCAGCAATGGCTGCATGGAATTTCTCAGGGTGGGTGGGTCCTGATGGTGACAACAGTCTCTAATGGAAGCATATGTGACAGGGAGACAATGCAGGAACACAATTGGAAGACATGGACTAAAAGTATACATAGTTCCCATTTTTTTTCTGTTCAACCTGCGGGCTGAATGAGAAAAAGAGCAGATTCCTCCATCAATGCTTAGAAGCGTTGCTTGAGGAATCCCATGCTGTCTCTATTGTATTCTGACAGTGGCAACTAGCTGCTGTCAAAATATCCGATTGGATCTTGCAGCTGCTAGCTGCGTTTGGTCGAGAATTTTCCAACCTGCTCCTCCGATTAGCTGATTGAGGGAAGCCGGTTGGAAGTGTGCCAATAGCGGCACAATCGCAGTAAATGCGCTGTGTGTATAGCCTACTTAAGCATTGTCACACCGTAACACAGAGTGCCTGAACAAGGACCTGTTGGAGGGATTATTTTAATGAGATATGCAAATTTAAAGACTGAAAAGGATTTACATCTACTTTAGTCATCACTGTTGTGCCCGATGAAGGGGACACTGCGTGGCCACAAATCATTGTGTTATGCGATACTGAGTCAATAAAAGGAGTATTGATCAGCATACTGGAGTGCCAGTGACCCCTTCTTTTCTGATACTGAACGGCGCCATCCATTTGTCACTGCTTACCGTTCAGGAGTGCGATGGGATTTGGACAACAAAGGAGAATTGTAGGGAGAGTGAAATACACTCATCCCCATATTTAGAGCTGACCTGTGACACTGAAACTGTCACACAGCGGCTCTGTTGATCGAGAACTGAGTGATCACATACCGCTTATCGCTGAGTTAACGATTTTCTCCCTGCAGAGAGCGATGATTGTCAGTCATTGATCCTTGCAGGGATTCCCCCTCCTCTCTCCGTTCCTCCAACAATGACTGGAGGGATAGACATGGCAGTAGCAGGCACAGCTAGCTCTGAATCTAGAGAGGCAGGGTCAGCTCTCAATCAGGCAGCCAACAATATTGTCAGGATCTTTCCTGGCCGCAGCTTGGCTCTGCGCTGTCAGCATATAGTGGGCAATAGCCCACCTGTGACCCTAAAGAGAACGAATGCTAAAAAAAAAAGGTTGGGCCATAGTTTTCTTTTATATGCTTTGTGTAAACTACAACCAGCATGACTCCGAGCTTACACGGGGCTTCTTCTCATAACTGTTGTAGTGTGGTCAGCAAAGGAAAAGTGTGTACAGGTAACAGGGGGCTTGACAATTCAGTGAACCCAATTTGTCCCGCATGAAAAAATGGATTTCAGGTATCTGTACTGATGAGATTTTGAACGTTTCTTTAGATTAGGGATGTCCAGATACCAGTGCCGATACTTGGCATTTTCATGAGAACTATCAGGGTTGCAGCTGGGACTTGGCTCTGGTGCTCCATCACTGTCCTGAAATCATTAGTCTGTATTGTTTTAGAAAAACTGTCACATGACAATAAAGAAAAATGCATCAGTGCTAGTATCTGTGAGGACTTGGGCAAGTATCAGTACTTGTACTCGCAAAAATGGTATTGGTGCATTATTTATAAAAACAACTCATACAATAAAACAGAGATGTACAAATCCCAGGAGCTCCGTGTGCTCCTTACAAATGACAGCTGCCTCCTAACTGTTGAGTTTTTCTCTAGTCTTGGAGCTCGAAAAATATCTGTACTTGTACTGAGTACAGTACTTGGTATTGGTTCATCCCTACTTTCATCCCACCTCAACCTAACCACTGAACCATCACATTCTCAAATAATTCATCCCCACACAGCTACCTCCTCTTTTAGATAGTAAGCCCTCAGGAGCAGTGCCCTCCTTACCATCTTGTCTTGAATTGTATTGTATTGTCTTCCTTACATTGTAAGGCGCTGCGCAAACTGTTGGCGCTATATAAATACTATGTAATAATAATAATACTTTAGATACATCCAGACCAAGGCTAAATTATATCTTTCTACATTTTACTAAAGTTTCCCTCTAGCAGAAATCTCCCCAGCACTCACCGGCGTGTTCTGAAGCATGTGTACCGGGGGTGATATGGACATCTACCTGTGAACATAGAATAAAAAAAA